AGAGTTCTAGTCTATTTGAGTGGGAATTGCTTCTATTTTGCAAGTGAAGTGACAAAAGGTTCAGTATTTATGGTCTGTATGATAAGGAACCCATTTTGCTGCACACCAAAGGTGAATGCAGTGCTTTTTCCAGCTTCTTCCTCTCATCATCTGCCTTCTACCTATAGCTTTTAGGGTGTGCTCAGCTGTTCTGATTTTGGCACTCCTGTGCCTCAATTAACAGTAGGATTTCTGCATTATTTTTATGAAGAAAAGAAAGTATTATCTAAAAATAGTTGATTGAGGCATTAATCTACCCTTTATCTAAAAAAAAAAAAAAATTACCTCCTGGTATAATGTAACTGGACTGTAAGGAAAAAAATTGTTCTGGAATGGTTGGGAAACATTACAAGCCCAAGTGTTCAGAGGCTTTGATATATGCAGGTAATGTAGGAGGCTTTCCAGAGTTTGAGGGTTTGATTCAACTCCTGTGTCTTTTTTTTTGTTGTGCAGTATTGGTGTGTCTTGCCGAATCAGGTTCTGGGCGTACACTTGTGACAGTGAATAAACCTGAACTGTGCTTTATAGAGAAACTTTCACCTTTGGGCAAAGTTAAACAGCGAACACTTATTTTAGAAGTGGTTTCCTGGCAGGATTTCTGCAGCGTAGCTGTAGCACTCATTAGAGTTTCAAGGAAGGCTTTTCAGCACTATTTTTTGCCTGTTTACTATGCTTGACTCCAAGTCAGATTCTAGCATTTCAAGCAGTTTGTCTTCAATGTCACCGTTTCAGCACTCCAGAGGAGGAGTAAATGAGCGCAGTGCTCTGCCACCAGCCAGGTTAAAAATAAATAATTGGATGGAGCATCTCTTCTGGCGCAGGAGTCCCTGCTAACCTGAGGTGTTCTGCAAGTTGGCTTCCACTTCTTTTCCGCCTGAAAGAGCATTCTGGGGAGCTTTGCAGGAGATGAGCTAAATCTCAGTAACCACCTGTGGTTTTGCTCTTTGTCATGATGAGGGCACGTAAGGTGCAGGCGTTGAAGGGGTGAAGGATCTGTAACATTGGCAGGCCGCTGTCCGTATTGCATAAAAGCAAACTATAAAAGCTAACGTTTCCAGTGCCATTTGAATGAATGGTAACATCCTCAGCTCCTCCAAGTCCTGACAGTGTTCTTAGCTGGATCTACGAGGGAAGGCTGTGTGTTCAGGGCAGTTCCTGAGCCATGTTTCTGTGGGGTGAATGGGCAGTGATGTGGTGCCTGCTGAGGCCAGCTTGGATCGGTAACCAATGAAGCGGTCCTCTTAAATTACTTCTTAGCTGAATCACAGAATTGCCAGGGTTGGAAGGGACCTCAAGGATCATGAATCTCCAACCCCCCTGCCACACGCAGGGCCACCAACCATTCCACCTAATGCTAGACGAGACTGCCCAGGGCCCCATCCAATCTGGCCGTGAACACCTCCAGGGACAGGGCATCCACAACCTCCCTGGGCAGCCTGTTCCAGTAAACTGAACTGAGTTAGCTTTCTCACAGTAGAGCTAGAAGATTACAGATAGTAACAAAAGGGAGGATTCCTCCATCTGGCACCAGGGTGATTTTTTTTCTTAAGCATGAGCACCATCATCCTCCAGGCTGATGCCTGGTGAGGACCAGGCCATTGCTATTTTTCAGATTGGTTGGCAGGGTCTCTCTTGTAGTTTTCCATTAAGAACCTGCTTGTCTTTGTGTTATACAGCGTTCCTCTGTAGATCTGGATGCTTTGTGTTTCCTCAGTTAAAAACTGAAGAAAAGTATCGATACATAGAATCATAGAATCACAAGATTGGAAAGGACCTGCAAGACCATCTAGTATGACTGTCAATTGCATACAATTCCATATATTGCATTAAATCAGTTTTATGAGCTAAAAGATGATTTGAGCACTTGTATGTGCTGGAGTTTCCTTTGCAAACCTGATATTGTCTGATGTTGCTGCTTAATTTTTTCCCATTCAGGTTGGTCTTCAAAAATGATTGGGTCTAAATGGAGTTTTATTTCTGAGAGCCAATTGTGAGTCTCTGATAATTTCTTACAATGGAAATCCTGACATTTCGTTGTCAAAAATGGTGAAATATAAATGCAAGGTTAGGTGGACTACTGAGGTTTTGGTTTTAGAGCTCTTTGTTCTGACACTACATTGGTCTTAAGAAAGTAATAGCTGCTAACTTTATTTCCTAGTAATTTTCTACTAGGTTGAAATCTTTTGCTATCATTAGAAGGTCCTCATTTGCAGGTGACAAACTGAGGTCAGATCTGGAAGCAAAAACCTGAAGACTGAATAAAAGCTTCTTGAGTGCTGCTTAAGCTGCTAAACTTGATAGCATTTCCTGGTGGATGACATAACTTTTGAGTGAGTTCAAGGATATTGCTGCTCAGATGCTTTTGTTCCTTTTGTTTCTGCTGCCAGATATCATTTGATAGGAATGTGGAGCCAGTCACAGTTGTGGTACCTGTTAGTGCTTTTCAGTCAACCTGTGCATGAGTGGCTGGTACTGTACCACCCCAAATTCTCACACCCTAATCTCAAAGGATTGTTTTGTCAAAAATTGAATGGAAGCCATTTATCAATATCATTCTCCTTCTGAACGAACGATCAGCTTTCTTAATGAGGTTTTTATATGGTGATGTCTGTATAATGTTTTGCAAACAATCGCTCCCCAGGTGCAGTTAGTCACTGAAGGCAGAGCTTGTTGTTACCTTTGCTCTCAGCAACTGTAAAGTGTCATGAAAGCAGCCTTCAGTAGGCAGCAACAGTCCTCCTATTTTGGAATGTGGAGTTAAGTGCTTAAAACGTTAAGGTGTAACTTCGTTTTCTTTACAGAGCCATACTTCATTTGTTTGGATGTACGATGATAGTTCCTCTAGCAAATGAGCTTCAAACTAGTTCTTGAGTCATCACAGAAACTCAGTTTTGTGAGCAACCTGCTCGAAGTGAGGTGGAGCCCGTAGGAGGAAGTAAGAAATACAGCTGTAGGCAAAGTTCTGTGGAATTTAGTAATTTAGCTGACAGGTTTTTTTCAATAGAGTATTTTCTGTGCTTCTGGGGTCATTGTGGGTAATCTATCACCCTTTGGCAACAGTGAAATCCATACTCTCCAGATTCATAGTGTGAAATCTAACTCATATTAATTATTACATCATCTGATGGTATAAGCATTAATTCACCAGGGAATAAGATGAGGCATGCCTGAGTATCTGGGCTGTGTAGATAGGCACCCTCCAAAATGTCTGTTTGCTAAGAGAAGCAGTTCAGCTTTTGATTTGAAGAGGAATTGAGCCAAAAGTAACATTGTGTAGATTGTTGTTTTATTTTTGAGGTAGAGGGAACACAGGCAAATGCTTGTCTTTGCCTAGGGGATGTGAGTCCTTGCTTAGTAAGGGGGTTTGTAAAGAGGTAGACATAACAGTTAGGAGTTGAAGGAGAGTAGTTCTGAGCTTCTTACTTGACTTGTTGCCAACAGAATCTGGCTCAAGGCTTGATCTGTTGAGAGGTCACTTTAAAGTGAGCTGGCAGTTTGCTGCTGTCCTGCTGGATCTGCACTTCTCTGCAGTAAGAGAGTTCCAGAAACATGCCCAAGTTGTTTGGAAAGATGGAGAAAAAAAAAAGAAAAAAAAGTGAGAGCTCAGAGGTTCTGCTGCACATGTGTTTGTGGTAGGCTTTTCCGTCCATAGACTATGTAAAGGCAACAAAAAGCAATAACTTTTTGGCACAGAATGTACCTATTATTTCAACAAATTAAAAAGTAGGAACAGATTATGGCAGGAAGTGATGGGCAGCCCCTGTAGGGGAGGTATCAGTGCTAGCACAGGCAGTGTATATGTCTTTATGCAGTAGCTGGTTCCATTTGCTGAAAGCTTGAATGGAAGCTGAGCAGACCCACGAATATCTTTGTGAACCATCTGCCTTAGCAGACTGAGGTACAATCCCATGAAAGGGGATGAACTCATCGACATTCAAAAAAACATGTTAAAAATTTGAATTCTTGCTGTCCTCACCAGCCTTCTTCTATGTCTTGTCATCACATATTCCCATCCATTTCCTTTTGTTTCCTATTCATTCAGTCTTCCTTAAGCTAATCTTAATTTACTAGTTCAGATAAAGCAGCCAACAGCAGATGATGTCCTGTTGAACTGATGAGCTCCAGAGGAGACACAGGGGACTAACTGTCGTTGCGGTGACAGAATGGGGGAACCAGGACTGAAAGGCTGTGGTGAGACCCGCAGAGCATCTTTTCCACTGTTGGGACTTTCCCCCAGCCTGGGATTGGCAAGAGGACAGGGCTAGGATATTTCAGCTGCAGAATGAAGAGCTACATCTTACTGAAGCCATTTAGGAACCAGTAAAAGTCAGCATATAACCTCTCTTGTCTGTGACTTATCCATAATGTCTCACCTTATTGAGCTGCCAGTTCCTGTATGTAGCTGTGGAAGCTGTGGCATGGTCTTCTCTAATAGAGTTTTCAATCTTTGTGTGATTACCTTTTGATTTTGTTCATTTACTCCTTAATCCTGAATGCAATAGAACCTTGAAAGACTTAATGCTAGGCCAGTGTGTTAAATTGGTTGTACAGAGGAGTTGACTTGAATCTGAAGTACTTTCTGCCTATTGAGAGACTTGATGGAGGAATTTTAAAGCTGTAAGAGAAAATAGATTTTTACAATTGCTGTTTAAGGTTACCTAGTACTTCAGCGGTAAGTACTCATAGTGATGTTATTGTGTGAGGGTTTCACTTGCCTCTTGTGCTTAGAACTTGTGCACCTGAATGAACTACAATAGATTTGAAAATAAAGCATAGGTTGAATTGGATTTTCAAATCACAATGCAGTTGAACATACAGCTTAAAAATCCAGGTGTATTGTGAATGATAAGTGAGCAAAAAGCGTCTGAAATAACAAACTAGCAGAATGAGCATAAATTCCTATCTTTTAAAATCACTTTCTCTGGGGAATGTCTTACTCAGACTGTTGAACTGTCTTGCAGGTGGATTCGCCTATGAACTTGAGGAACCCGCATGATTTGGTAATACTAATGAGACAAGAAACAACAGTTAACTACCTCAAAGAACTGGAGGTAAAGCATAACATTAACCACTAACTTTTCTTAAGATACAGATTTTTCTTGTAGTGGTGTTAGTGATAGATGTAGACAAAGAACAAAAGTCATTATCAGCACAACTCCAACAAATGGATAAAGAATTCTTCAGATTTCAGGATTTCTGTGGCTCAGGTTTGTTGAATTGGTTATCATTGTCCTCAGTTGCATCTGCATTTTTGAACTTGATTTTATTGCTTGCTACTGTTTTCCAGAACTTTTTATGGAATTGTTCTCTTAGATTTGTTATAGCAGCTACTGAGGGTACGTCCTATGGGCAGTGAGAGTGCACACACAGGAGGCTATGAATTTCCCTGTACCCCCTTCTGGGCTGGTCAGACCATTTTCAGTGCTCTGTCTAGGACATGTGAGTGAGCAAGTCACTACTGTTTTATTTAAAGCCCCTTTATTCCAAAGCTTCAGAGTGGCTGAGGTTGGCAGAGACTTCTGGGTCCATCTGATCCAACCTAGAGCCATCCCTAGCAGGTGCCCAGGTGGCTTCTGAATATCTCCAAGGATGAGATTCCGCAGGTTCTCTGAGCAACCTGTGCTCTGTCACATGCACATCCCAGAAGTGCTGCCTTATTATTGTTGAAGTGGATTTTGAAAACGCCGTTCTGAAAAGAGCTTCAGTGAACTTTAAACTTTCATGGGAACTAAAGCTTAAATGCCTAAAGCTAGTAGCGCTCAGACTTTCTTTTGGCCATGCGTTCCCTCCTTTCTCTTGTGCCAGCTTGCATTTTGTCAGATAAGAATAACTGGCTAACTAAGAAGTTAAATGAGCACCAGAGATAACCTCAGGCAAATAGAACAGAGATACAGGAATGAAAAAAAAGCAGGACTGCTCCATATGAGACTACATTCAGCCAGTCTTTCTTATTGAGGTATACTCATCTTCATGTCATTGGGCATTTTCACTGTGGATGAAAAAATTATTTAGGCTGTTCAGGACATGGGTTGCAGGTCTGTAAATGACTAATGCACAATTTGTGCCATACAAATGACTTTCAGCAAAAATGATTTAAGATTTTGCACAAGACGTCATTAATGCAAATATGTCGATTATTGCATGTTAGTGTGTTAGCAAATATATATGGCTTTAATTAAAAATGCAAAATTTCTTCTCATATAACACATGCAAATCCTGATATTTAGTGGATTTTCAGTTTTGCAGATCTAGGTGAGAATTAAGTACAAGGTAATGTCCTGGGCAGAGCCTCTGCTACCTTATAGGAATAAGGTTTCTAGAGTGAAGGGTAGCTCCAAAAGCACACTGTAAGCTGATCTACAGAAATTATTTTCTGCTATTCCTTTTAGCCTGCTGCCTCAGTCATAGTTTACATACTGACTGGTTAAGAGTTCATTTGTTTACAGTCTCTGATACTAATTTTGTGAGGTTTTGAACTTTAAGAGAAGGGTTCAAATATGACAGTATTGATGTGTTTTAACTACTACCTCATTTTCTGAATGAGCAACAGTGAATTTGAAATCCTATAAGCCTTCTTTCTAGGTACAGCAGGAAAAATAAAGGACTGATTAAGTTGTATTGTCTCTCTTGAAAGTACTAATTTTCTATCTAAATAGAACTTTTTACATATCCTTCAAATTGACTGGTGTAAGAAAAAAGCTGAATTGTTCACCTGTTCGCTACTATACAGTTTTGTCAGTATGCATTTTTCTGTTTTCCTTTTTCTATTTCCAACAGAAACAGTTAGTTGCTCAAAAGATTCATATAGAGGAAAATGAGGACAGAGACACAGGGCTGGAACAAAGGCATAATAAAGAAGACCCAGACTGCATTAAAGCAAAGGTGCCCTTGGGGGACCTAGATCTGTACGATGGCACGTACATCACCTTAGAGAGCAAAGATATCCGGTAATGAGGTGTTTTGTATATTAAGATCTTTACTGAATGGGAAAAAAAAAATCTCTTCTTGCAATTAAAAAGAAAAATACTTTCATGAGACTGTTCTTGAGATGACAGTTGTTTTATTTTATATTAATGTGAAATAACATTCAAACAAAATCTACCTGTAGTTACAAAAGGGAGGCACTGTCTCCCTCAAACTCTGTGGTGTTAGCTGTCAACTGAGACTTCTCATTGCTTTTCCCAGGCTCCCAGTCAGTGTAACTCTGTAATGATATGAGCAGACGCTTGCTTGAGTGTTGGGGATTTTTTGAGCTAGATGTGCTTCTTGTAGTGGGAACTGTCGTAAATTTGTATGGAAGACCAAGATGTTGAAGCTCACAATCAATTTTTTTTCCTATGCCTTTAGCAAATAAAGGCAGTATGGGCAGTCTGATATGCAGCTTTGTTTGTATTTTTGCTTCAAAGCTAACTCTTTTGATTTTGTATTTCTGGTTTTTTGAACATGAGGTGGGAAAAGATGAATTTTGTCCTCAGATCCCTTCATCTGCACCTGTAACTATTTGTTCTTGTTTGATTGTGAAGTTTGGTTTGTGGGGGTGCAGGGCATGTTGAGTCTGCATGCATGGTCATTTGCCTGGCATATAAATCATGAATCATAACACCAACACTCATTAATTGTACCAGTGATAAACTAGGCTGAACTGATGCGTTTTGGCAAATGTCCAAATGTTGCTATCTTCTCTAAAGCAGATACCAATTTATTTATCCTCTTGTGTTGGCATCCTGGGAACTGAAATGCGGGGAGGCATCAGAAGTGGTGTAGTCTGTGGAAACACAGTTTTTGTAACAGTAGGTGAAATCAGAATACTGTGTCTGTCAAGTAAAACATTGTATCTCTGAAACTGTAAGGTATCTTGATCTGGAGTCCACTGTGTTATGTTATGTTATGTCCGCAGGCCTGAAGACTATATAGACACAAAGTCTCCAGTGCCTCCAGACCTGCAGCAGCCAGATTGTACAAAAGTTCTTGATCTTCCATACAGCATTCATGCTTTTCAGCACTTACGGGTAAGTGAGCAAATGGAAATGTGCTATTTTATTTTTTCCTCTATCTGGAAGAGAAACAGTGAAGTCCTAGGGGTAACTGTGAGTCAAGGCTGAAAGGTAATGCAGTTTTCTGAAGGCTGTCTTGGTCTTCTTTAGAATCATGATTTTACTGTGATTGAAACACCTGATCATAGGAGAATGCTTCTGTCAGATACACATTTGTCTCTTGTTCCTACTGGTCTTATTTTAGAGAATGTTCTTAGGATTTTGTTTTCATGACATGTTTCATCAGTAAAATGGCAGTTTTTTATGTGTATGTTTAAATGTTTCTATCTTGTGGATTGTTTCAGTTGCAAATTAGAGAGCAAATTGCTGTGCAGGATCGTTAAGCTATATGGAGATTCAGGATCAGAAAGTTGTTTGTATAGCTGTCAACATTTATAACGTAGTTGACTGTCGCTTTGATATGTGAATGCCAAACTCTAAGCCAGAGGATGAGATAATTGCTCTTTGCTAATACAAAGTTCATCTGCTATAGAATGATCACAGCTGAAGTGTGACGCAAAAGTTTCTTTGGTCAACAAAGTTGTATGAGCAGATTTTCTAATGCAGACCTAGCTTTAGCACTCATCTCATTACATTTATTTTATTACAAGTCTCAAAATTAATTTTTCATCTACAAGGAAGTATTTTCTTATAAAGAAAACAGGAATGGAAGTTTTCTAGTTCTGTCCCTGGGTTTGGTTGTACCTCTTCTATTCAGAAAACAAGAAAACAAGAAAAGAGGGCAATTCTGTAGTGTGTAACCTGACAAACATGAGTTAAGTGTTTCAGTGGTGACCTATGACACCCATAGCTACCAAGCAATACGAAGCTATCAGAATTTAATGCTTATCCTATAGCACTCATCAAGCAAAGGCTGCTCTTGGAAGAATTGGTATTAATGACTGCTCGGATGTTTTCGTATCAATAGTAATGTGTGTTATTCATCTGGCAAAGGTGACACTATCCTATGAAGTCACAGAGATCTTATGAAAGGATGATAGGAATGTGAAATAGTAAAACTGGAAATTTTCCTGGAAGTCGTGTTTTTGTGCATATTTCTCAGGTACTTAGTTTCTCTAAAACTAATCTTCATTTTTTCTTTTAGGGTGTCCAGGAAAGAGTTAATCTTTCTGCACCCTTATTACCTAAAGAAGATCCAATCTTCACATACTTATCACGGAGGCTGGGAAGAAGTATAGAGGAAATAGGTCATCGTATTTATGATGGGCTAATGAAGGTATGAAGCTGTAAACTTACAGTATATTGAAAAAGTGTGCTGGAAAGTCCTCAGAGGATTAGATATGCCTAGTACATACAGTCACATCCAGTACTAGCCTTTCACATATATTCTGGTTTTATGTTTCAGTTACAAAAGGTAGAGCAAAAACATTTTCAGTAAGGTAAGCAGAGACAGGAGAAAGCATTAGCAAACCCAGTAAACAGATACTGTCACCTTTTATAACTCTTATACTTCTGTGGCCTGTAGAGGCCACATTCATTATTCTGTTAGGATATAAGAGCTTTTAAACAAAAATGCGGGTACTGAAAGGTCACACATGCATTTTTTTAAATGCCTTCCTGCAAGACAGGAACTCTGTTTCGATTCAGTATAGCTGCTGTTGCATAAAATTCCATCACTGCTTGTTTCATTTTGAATTTTCACCAGTATAAAATGCAGGAGTTGTGTTTCTTTCATACATCTGTGTGTCAGCTCATTCTTCCTGAATATTCACAGGCGTTGCCAAATGCCAGCTTTGCAGAGGAAGAGGAAAACTTAGATTAATGCTCAGTTTTCCATCTCTTAGTAATTAAAGCCATGGATGACCTTTTAGTTCATCTTGGTTGATAGTACAGTTCTTGTGTTTCTCTTTACTGCAGAACTCTTCTTCCTGGGTACTTTATAATATGGCTTCTTTTTACTGGCGAATAAAGAATGAACCGTACCAAGTAGTAGAATGTGCCATGCGTGCCCTTCATTTCTCTTCCAGGTGAGAATTGCTGGTGAAGACATTTTTTGTCAGATTGCTTTTCTAGTTATCCTGATTACTGAGCAGGTTTTTAAGAATGAAAGAAATAAATACTGTTAAATATTTTTAGGCATATATATGATTTAGACACTTGACTTTTTCAAAATCCATACTTAGTATGCAACTGAAGAATGAGTGTGTCCTTGTGCACAATCTTTACCTAGTCTGACCTTTTAATGGCTTTTTTTTTTTTTTTTTAAATTAGGCAAAATAAAGACATTGCATTGGTAAATTTGGCAAATATTCTGCACCGAGCTCACTTCTCTGCGGATGCTGCTATTGTGGTCCATGCAGCTCTGGATTACAGTGACTTCTTTACCAGCTATTACACTTTGGGAAATATATATGCAGTAAATATCATCTTTACTTTTCAATACCTGTAGAAAAACAATATTTAATATTTCTGGCTTAACATGTAATGCTTTAGTCTTTTACAGTGCATTTTGTGTTACGCACATTACATGTTTGATGTTTATGTTTCTGTTTAAATATTTTCACTCAGAAGTCTGTCTTTGCCAAAAGTTCTTATTTGCACTTTGAAGTAAATTCAAGGGAAATTTTCCCACAGCCTCACCTTAACAGATAGAGTGGCTTTAATTTCTGCAGACAGGCCACTCATTACTGCAGATTAAATTTTGAGTTGATCACTTATTTAAAAATTAAGAAAATTGATTAAATATTACAAGGTAATAGCTCATTCTCTCTTTGTCTCTCCATCATTCTTCAGATGCTCGGGGAGTACAACCACTCGGTCCTGTGTTACGATCATGCTCTACAGGCCAAGCCAGGGTTTGAGCAAGCTGTGAAAAGGAAGCATGCTGTACTGTGTCAACAAAAATTAGAGCAAAAACTGGAAGCTCAGCATAGGTAACTAAAGCACCACCATAGTGGAAATGCTACGGTCTCAATTTATTGTTCTGCTGCATCAATTCTTTACATTTCCAATATAATAATAATAGTGGTTTACTTTTTAAATTTCTTAGGCTGCATTATAAAATTGTTACTTTAAGCAACCCAGAACAAGGCTGAAAATATACAATGTTATGGGAAAAGTTGTTATTTTAAAAAACATTCAAAGTGAATCTTTTCTACTGTCCAATTTTCAAGATCACTTCAGCGAACCTTAAATGAATTGAAGGAATATCAGAAGCAGCATGACCATTATCTTAGGCAACAAGACGTTTTAGACAAATACAAGCTCATCCAGGAGGAACAAATCCTGAGGAACATAATTCATGAGACCCAAATGGCGAAAGAAGCTCAATTAGGTACAACTTTTCAGAGTTCATGCTTATTATAGGAATGAAGAATTACATGCATTCAGATTAATCACATAGAATCTTTTGTTTTGGAAAGGGACCTTTAAAAGCCATCAAGTCCAACTGCCCTGCAATGAGCAGGGACACTTTAAGCTAGATTACGGTGCTCAGAGTCCTCTCTGGGCAGCCTGCTTCAGCGCCTCACCACCCTTACTGTAAAAAACTTCTTCCTTATGTCTGATCTGAATCTCTCCCCTCTTTTAGTTTGAAACCATTTCCCCTTGTCCTATCACAACAGCTCTGCTGAAGAGTCTGTCCCCTCCTTTTTTTATAGATCCCCTAATGTTAATGTCAGGATGTAACTTCTTTGGATATTTTGGTGGCCCTGAGTTGCTATTCTGTTTTGCTTATTAAAACTAGTGATTATGGCATGTTCTCAAAATAGGAACTTTTTGAGTCTTTACAAGATAGAATTCATGATGAGAGGGTTTAAAAAATAAAAATAAAAAATTATTTGGAAAGAAGTGGAGCTTTTTTTTTTTTACTGTACACTTCTCATCTCCTCAATAACCTCACTTAGACTGTAGAATAACATGTTCTGTGCTGTGCAGGGAACCATCAGATTTGTAGACTGAGCAACCAGCAGCACAGCTTGCACTGCCAGTGGGACCAGCCTGTTCGCTATCACCGTGGAGACATTTTTGAAAATGTGGAATATGTTCAGGTTTGTCTGTGAATTGATACTGCTGTTTCAAGTTGTGTCCTGTTTTCCCCATTGGTAAAATAGTGGAGGTTTTGGGTTGTGGAGTTTCTGAGCTGGTTGGATTTGGGGTTTTTTTAAGGCTCATCAGAGGAGGATGTACCTTTGGAGTTTGTTAATTATAGTGACAAGTGACTTAGTCCCCTTTTGAGAGTTTGAAGTATTTAATGCTGGTTTACTTTGCTGGTAGTGCAAGCTGAGATCGGTAGTAGGTTTTAGAAATGTTAAGCTCTTATTAAGTAAGGCTTTGTTTTACTTTAAAAAAAAAAAAAAAAAAAAAGATTATCATTATTTACATTTTTTTTTTCTAAAGTTGTCTTTTTCTGGGAGATCTGAGCCACTTATTTAGTCTCCTTTGCATTTTTAACCTGTATGGAACAGTTAGCTGGTTCTTCCTAGGAAGGACAAAGGTTACTCACTTGAGAAATTGCAGCTTTCTCTCATTTAAATGTACTACATTCAGGCATGCTAGCAGGAGCAAATGTTTAACTTGCCTTCAAAGAGGACAGGAAAGGCAAAGATTCCTAAGGACTTAATTTTCTTTTCAAATATACGTGTGGAACATGGAATGAGAACTACTCCTTAATGGAAACAATATTCCCATACATAGCTCAGATGTGTGTTTAATATTTCATTAGTTATTTCTACAGCCCTTATGTGGTTTGTAATTTCTTTTGTTTATTATGCTATTGTGTGACTCAAGCAATGTAACGTTTGCCCACTTCTTCCAATTTAATATTTTGTCCCTACAAGAAGGAGCAGAAAACTGCAATACACAATTAACAAATACAAGAGCAGAGCTCCTTTCTGATCAGTTTAATGAGAGCTTTTGTAGCCCTAAAATAAGGTGTTAGCCTGATTTAACGAGTATTGGCTATTTGTATATCTTCATCTAGACAGTTCACCAAGAAAATCTGATACAGGAATATTGGGAAGCTTTGGAAACAGTGTGTGCTCTGACACTGAAAACCCAGATCAAAAACCAACACACTGATGTGCTAGAGCTACACATAAAAATTGTTGTTTAATTTATTTTGTAATGTGAAATGTGTTGTGGAGTTTTCTGTTGTCTGGTTTAAGAAAACAGGAATATTTATTTTTAATTATGTTTTCTTCTCGGGTGTTCTTCCTACTCAGGTTATCAAGATGGGTTTTGCAAGCTGTGAGACATAGTAACTCCAACTTGAATTATTGAGATGCATGGTGTAGATATGTTGATTTTGTATATGACCTGCTAGAGATGTTTGCTTGATATATTTTAGGTTTTTTTGCTTATTTGCAGTTGTATTTTCATTGTTGACTTTTTACAATATGAGTATTTTTCTATGGTGTGAGTGGATCGAGCTTAAATTTCTATTTTTTAATGCTACCCAAATTTCAGCTCATTAGTGAAGTTTAACTACATAAATAGTGGGGTATGCATTCCACTTCTTTAGATAGACATCTCTCTTCTTTATGGAATTCTGTTTTGTTTCTAGTTTGGTGAAGACTCTTCAACTTCGAGTATGACATCTCTGAATTTTGATCTTCATGCAAACCAAAGTGGCCACAGCCAATCCTTGCAGTCTTCCCCAGTTGCTCGTTCCATTGTTTCAGTGTGGAGTGTAGAATCCAATAGAGTGAGTGAATGGCACAGGTTTTGTCTTTTGCTCCTTGAAAGAGGTGTTATAAAAGTGGGCATCTTGTTCTTGTTTGTGTGAAACTTTTTAGCACTTCTTTAACAATGCGAATATCTCTGTAGTTTCTGTGGACCAGTTTCCAGTCATTTGAAACTCTGCTACAGCACAGACAGGCTTGTTCTTCTACAGCAGCTGAGAAGTCTGCTGCAAGTATAGCAGTACAGCTAGAAAACTGAGCTGCTGTTCTGGAAAAATTTGGAAAATAATAGTCTTAAAGATGTCCACTTTTTTGTTCCTCCAGATTATTCCTTGTGTTAGCTTGTTCATTAAAATATTGAAAATGTTGAGAAAGTAATTAAAAAATTCCTTTTCCCTATAGGACAAACAGCATCTTCTTTGGCCTCAGCGTTCTGAATGTATGAAATCTTTCCCCAAAATTCCTGATCCAGAAGAGCTGCCAACTTATTTTCTGCCTCCAGAAAATAGGGGATTCAGGCAAGTGTTAATTTTATTTTTAAACATCTCTAATTTAGTTTCATATTTATAATTTTTGACACTTAATGTTTTAATGAACATTTTCTCTCTGGATAGGGTGGATGCAACCCGTGTTCAACAGCACAAGTGCTTTCAGATCTCTTCCTTTGGCCATCCCAGTGAAGGAGTGATTTTCCTTTACTGTTGTTATTTCTATAACTGTAACAGACCCAATTTCATGGTGATTGTTCCTTGACATTTTAGTACAAGGTGAATGCATGAAACATCTACAATATTACTAAAAGAATGAGGATTTAAGTGCAGGTATGAATGTGGATTGTTCTTTTGGGACAGAGGTAGAAAAACAGCTTAGTTGTGGAATAGCCAACAGTGCTTACTATTAAATAGGGGAAAATAAAAGTGTCTGTGCTGCAGTAGCTACTTGCATAGGTCATGATAATTTTATACTATTCTATTCACTTAGCACTGCAGAGGTGGTAGGGAAGCTATTGATTCGTCTCGGTTCTTCTTATTGCTAGAGTCCAGTCAATCCTAAATATCCCAAGAGAAGCTATTGGGCATGAGGACACCCAGGTACCAGATTGTTCTTCCATTACCGATGCTCGTAACAATGAGTCTCTGTACCTACTCGTCAAAGAACTAGACAGTAATCTAGATTTGAAAATGAAGATGCCGGATGATCAAGCAAGACAAGTAAGAGAAACATCTCACTGCTTCTCGGCTGTTTTAAATTTTTTCTCTTTTTTGCCTTAGAAGTCTTGTTCAGGAAGTAAGCCATTTCTGATATGTAAAAGACTTTCTTGCTTCCTTTTTTTTTTTTTTTTTTTTAAGAAATGTGGAATCAAGTGCTTTCTAATATTGCTGGAGGAAGGGAGAGCTTGTCACTCAGCATAAGGCTATTGCCTGTCCTCTCTTAAATGCTGACCGAAGCACACAAAATAAGAAAATTTATTTAAAATTACTACTTTATTTTGAAACTTCTGAGAGTTACTTGACATGATTCAACTTCTCGAGATTTCCAGTATCCCTTGTATTCTTCCAAATTGGTAACTTTAAGGTGAAATTACTCCTTCATATTGTTTTTTGTAGATTGGCTGCTTATGAGATGTGAATATATAATGATTGATTTAGGAACTACGTAGTAAAACTAAATGGAATACTTAGGGAAGTGAGACTTAAATGACCAGTGTAGCTATATTTTGTAAAATTTCACTTTAAAAAAAAAAAAAAATCCTTTGTCCAGATCTTGCATTCTCGAATCAACAATCAAGCTATTACACAGGAGAAGATGGAAGCATTTCTTGATCATGCTATGAAAAAGGTGAGTCAAAATTTGTAGCGCAAGATAAACGAGGAATTCTTATTTAAAGCTTCTTTCTATACCTATAAAATGGTCAGGTTTGTTTTAAAAGTAAAGATTTGATGTGCCTGTGAGTGAGATGAAACTAGCTTGATAATTCAGGTTTGTAGGAGCAGCTCAAACATTGAGCTAAAGGAAATGGCTACGTGTATACCACACAGCCCCGTGGTTACTTGTTCTTTTTGTGACTGCAGGACATTGAGCATCAGTGTATTAGCTAATCCTGGCAGACATTTGTGTAGATGAACAAAACAGCTTGCACCTGTTCCCTCTTCCACCTCTCCTGGCATGTCTGCCTTTTGCTCTTCCTCCTCATCACTAGTCCCCCAACCCTGTACTCCAAAGGCAACCAACCCACTGTCAGTCTTCTGTCAGGATAATTAGCACTGTGGGGCAGAGCATGTACATCTGTGTAACACACTGCAGAATTCCACCTCCATCTTGCGTGGGGCCTTTGAGTCATAACTGTTCAACTGACAGGAAGCATTGAGATAGAGCTTGGCTCTTTTTGACCTGTCAAGCTGATCTCTCTCAAATTAAGTATCTTCTATAAATTGTGTCAAGGCAGTGTATGTATGTATTGTTTTGAGTCTAAAATCAGTACAGATTTACTATGCACATCTGTCTTACCCAGAAGAAGAAAAATCAGCAGTAGGAGTTGATTTCTGTTATAGAACAATCCAATATATGTCTAATGTCTAACTGTTGCAGTGCATAGATGTTCTGTTTCTAACTGTAGTATTTGGTTACCTTCATGCTGAAAGTCTGAACTTGATCATTTTTATGCTGATACAGGAACGGTGCTATGCCATGCCTATTCTGTTAAAGATAAACTCTTCTACTGAAGAAGAGCAACAGCTGGCATCTTTGTACTGAGAAAGACAAGATGCTAGTAGTTTGCTTGGGATTTAGTCAGAGGACATTAAGGCCTCTGTGGAAAGTAGTTCAGTGAGGAGTTTGTGAATAACATGCGAGTAATGGTATGTATGTGCATTGCAAAATAGAGGCGTTAGGTAATCTTACAATTACTGATTATTATGTAAGGTGCTCATGAGAAAAGGTAATGTGTCCTACTGATATCTTCCTATGCATCTTGAACCACAGGAAAAGCCCTTCTGTGTGTGAGGTGTCTGTAAAACCTTCAATATCTTTCTGTCAGTTAACTTTTTCAACACGTATAACTGGGTAACACTGAAAATATTTAAAAAATCAAAATGGAACACTGGTGTTTCTAGAGCATTCTATGTGCCCTGTCTGAAAGAAGTTGTTTTATTTAACTCTGCCTACTTGTCAGGATTTTAAAGTGTTGCTATTTCTCCTCTAGGATGAGTGTTTGTTTCCTCTGCCGTAGGTCAAAGAGGAGGAGGAGGAATTCAAAGTGTATTTGATGCTTTCTCTGTTATTACATGTGCCTTCACTTGTCACTTGCTGTTTTATCTTTAAGCAGCATCTCATGCATATCATGTTGACATCTATTCCTAAAACGTGCAGAGATAACTAAATTTAAGAAAAAACAACTGTGATACCTTAAATAAAACATCTTGAAGTAGGATATAGGACCTGGAAGCACATCTGACTAGTAGTTGGAAAGTGCTTGACTTTCAAATTGGTAAAATCTTTTCACAGACCCATGTTGATGTAATTTTAAGACTCCGAAGTGGCTCACAAATGTTCTTCTGAAGCAAACTAACCATTATCAGTTTCGTGTTTTAAGGGATTTTGTGGTTACGTTGTAAGATGGTCATACAAGTAAATGATGTGAGCAACAGGTCCTGCTAAATTACAGTGCAGACTGTAAGTTGCATCAGTTCACTAACTTCTCTGCCCTGATAAAACTCAAGCTGTGAACAAAGCAAATTGTAAGATGTACCTAGTTAGACAGTGTGCAGAGGTGAGTTTTTTTTGTTTTTATCAGACAGCAGGCACTTCTGTCTCCCTGAAACACCTCTGTGGGTATTTTCATCCTATTCCCTAATTCTCCTGTAGCCTCAAGATCCTCTATGGCTTGTGCTTAATGAAGCTGGATTGTACTGGCGTGCAATTGGAAATAGCACCTTTGCTGTCACCTGTTTGCAAAAAGCATTTAATTTGGCTCCACATGAATATCAGGACATCCCTCTGGTCAATCTTGCTAACCTCTTGATCCATTATGGTCTTCATTTGGATGCCAGCAGGCTCTTGCTTCAGGCTTTGGCCATCAATGCCTCTGAGGTAAGACGATGTTTTTTTGTGTTAGTTCAGCAGTGGGAGCCTTTCCATTACTTGGTTAGTTTCTAAATACATGTTATGTAACTGTGCTGACTTACCTGAAGTATGCAGTTTAGCTTCCAGCTTGTGGTTTGGAAGGAATGTTAATTTTCATTTACATTCTGGTTCTAACCGGTTGGTGCTGGTTACTGAGAACGTACACATCTGGAACATAATGCTTCTATATAGATTACACGTTTTTGTTTCCAAGAACCTGCGTCACCAGTGGCTCAAAGGAATCCAATCATGATGTTTTGGGAACTCTGTCATCTTAAAAAGAGATTATGATGCTGTTGTTCTATCTTGGTTTGAAAAAAAGAAACTCTTAAAGCAGCAGATGTGTCATGAAGGTCTTTGACTGAATAGACATCTTTCTCTGCCACTTGTTTTTGTAGTTTTTATTATGTACAGTTTTATTTGTCCCTAGATGTAAGATATGTAGCTGGGTATAAACCTATGTTGGAGTTGTTTTGCCTTTACTTCCAGTTGTAGATTCAAAACAGTTTTTGCATTTCTGAATAGGAACATTATAGACATTTTGCAGATGGGCACTTATCTAATGTAGAAACTCACCATGTAAACTGATTAAACTGTGGAACTGGCTGGAGCAATAGTGAAAAGGAGAGGAGAAGAAAAATAATTAAATTGAGGTGGGACCTGAACTTAAGATTGGTGCGTATGTATCTGTGTCACAACATCTTTTCTTTGGCAAGTGATTTGGTCTGAAATTTACAATACTTCTGTAAGAAGTGAAAGCTGATGTTTCCCATGCGTGTACTTCTACACTGAGATGAACAGAGCGCTGTAGCCCACCAGGCTACCAGGCACCTAGCACTTAAAGGCAAGAAGTGGCATAAGCCTTTCTAATGTAAAGGGATCTGGTCAGCCTGAGTCACAGGTAGGAGTGCAGAAAGGAGTTATAGAAAAAACTTAAGAGGTGTGCCCTGGGAGGAACACTTGAAAGCACAACATTGAAAGTTAACCAAGGATCACACTGCATGGATTAGGACTTTCCTCAAAAATGTGGTGAGTCTTGCCTACTACAGTAATGCTGCTCTTATTTTTTTTCAGTCAGTCACAGTCCTATAAAAAACAGTTTTAAAAAATTGGCAGGAAAATCTGTGCTCAAATGAAACTTCCTGGAATATAATGAAAAGTAGATATAAATCAAAATGAATTACAGATGCAGGGAGTTGTGTGTGTGCTCTGTGAGCAAAAATTCATTAAAAAAAAAATTGGAATGCAGTTGCTCAAGTTGCATGTTTTTCTGAATAATGCTTAATGATAGAAGCTGAGTGTGGCAAATCTGAAGCTGTTGGTCAGTCTCCAGATTTTCGGATAATGAATGTAAAATTACTTATAAGGGAAAAAATGACTGCTATGTTACAGTATTATAGTCATTATTGTAGTATTATATTAACTATTATATTTTTTGTGTGTAAGTGATTGTTTTCAGTCAACAAATAAACAAAAAGTAAAGCTTCACTTTGTGCCTATATTTGCTGATTTAATTCTATCCAGTGAAAAGGGTGTTTGTAATCTGTACTTTACAAATAGATGTTATGCAGAGACTTGCCAAAAGCAGAGAGCAAAAATATGAAGTTTTATAAAGAGTTGAAAATAAATGTTCATCTCTAAGCTAGTGTGAAATTGATGTTTTCTGGGGCCCAGTTCTGCTCAAGTAAGTGCTGAATATTATTGACAAACGAAATGCATATGTCCTTCTAGAGCTGTAGTAATATTTCTATGCTTTTGCTGGCTTCTAGTAGTTCTAAGATATCTTCAAACATTTAAGTTTAGCTATTGCTGTTCTGTGCAGTGACCATTATGTTTGTGATGGTTTATAGATAAGTATTTAATGCTTCATCTCGGCATGTATTTAACAGCTGTTTTTCATCGTGGAAAGTTGGAATCCAGAACACAACCTTATGTGCATCAAGCTGTTAGTTCTGTGTTTGAAGAATATGCAGTCCCTATTGAAGAAGTTTTCCAAATTCCTTCCAGACAAACTGGGGAGGTGTGGGTTGGCAGGAGTTTTGCCTAGTTAGTTTCCATTTCAGCTGCTAAACATACTTATGCTGAGGTGTGTTGCTCTTTTCTTCATAGCCCCTGACTTTTTTGAGCCTGGGAAATGCTTATCTGGCTCTGAACAACATTAGTGGAGCCCTACAGGCCTTCAGACATGCACTGGATTTGACTACCAAGTGTTTGGAGTGTGAAAGCAGCCTGAAAATGATCCGCTGTCTGCAGTTCTATCCTTTTCTCTACAACATCACCTCTTCTGTATGCAGCGGTAAGCAGTTGCTGAAAGGTGGACTGTGAGTGAAGTATTGTCCATCTGCCTTGAGTGGTGCACTTGGAATTCATGTTTACTGTGGTATTTCTTTTCAAGGATTCTCCTTTTTGCTTTGTAGTGTATTCTCCCCATTAGGACCAAAGTTGAGGCACTGCTTTTAATGGAAAAGTTATGATCCATTAAGAAGTGCTTGAGGATGGCTTCTTAAATATCTAGAGGGCTACCAGTGAGTGCAAATTACTTCCTGAGTATGTCAGTAATACCTTAACAGCCTGACTGATAGCTCTTACTGGTAAATGAGGAATGCTTAGAGAAATGTACAGCTGCTACTGCTCAGGTACTCAACAGCCCCTTTGTACATCCTTCCAAATTTTACAGTCGGATGGATTTGTTTTCTCAAAGCTGAAGAAATTGGCAAAGAGCAGCTCTAATTTTCTTATCTTTCCACTGCGTTCAGTCCATTGGATGTCATTTTATAGTGTTCAGTCTTCATGGAATAGACTGAGTCATGTCAGTATTATTTTGTTTATATGGGTTTGTGTTCCCTGCTTCTAAACTCACAAAAATCTATAAGAAGAATGTCTTTGAACCCAATCTTTCCCAGTTAAAATACTTTTTAAAAGTTGAGGTGTAATGCTTTATTACTCTTAGTATCTACTTGAACAAAACCCGCCACAAATAGCTTTTGGAGACAGGTTTTGTTTCTCTAGGTCTCACTAAATATTTCCAGTACCTTCCCTGTTCTTTCACGTAGGTAATATGCTGGTCACAAGCAAGCTTAAAGAGCATTTATGAATATGCTTAATAACCCAGATTTCTTGCAAATTGTCACTAAGGTATCTTCTCCTTCCTTTGTGAATGAACATGTGAGAGTAATGCTTTTATTTTTAGTATTACTAGGACTTTCTGTTGTGTTTTTGGTTTTTTTTATGTTGTTCTTTCTTGTTTGTTTGTTCTGTTGTTCTATAGTTCTACATCCAGGGGACAAATATGGAAAAAGCTTCCTTTGATTTATCATCTGGAATTAGGCTGCCTAAATGCAGGCCAGAGGCCTTCTATATTTCCTAAATATGGATTATTTCAGAGTAGGTGCTATTCCAGGACTGTGTCATTAGAATGATAGTATGTTTTATGGCCTCTTGCATTTTCACTAGTTTACAGCATGCCAGTTTTGCAGACAACTGAGTGCTATTTAGTTAAATGTAGCAATACGTACGAAAGCACATCTTTGAGGGTCTCTTTCTGACTCAGAATTGTAGTATTTAAGTATTCTACTCTTTATTTATATTTTTGCTTTTTTGTGGGACTCCTTCTGTCTTAATATTTTTCTCTCTTTCATTTTTATCTCTAATACCCTTTAGGTCATCTTTTGTCTGGGTGCAAGAAAAACCTGAAAGCGTGAACATGACAAATAGTGTAAATGTTCTTTGTACCTTCTTCTGCAGAGTGTAAAATAAACACGCTGGCTAATTCAGCCTTGGTGATGATTTGTGGTTTAAATAAAAAATGAGAATTAAATGAAAAGGCAGACAAATTTTATTTTCATATGGCTTGGGGAAATATTTTTCCCCTGCTCTTCCTCTCAACAGACTTGAATGGAAACTTGACAGGCTATGGGAAAGTTGAAGGTGAGTCTCCAGAATTGATGTTTACCTCCTCCATCTCCTTTGGGAACTAAAGAAGAGCTGTTTTGCAGTACCTGGTCCACTGAAAAAAATCACCCGGAAATTGGAATGCCAAGTGTTGTCTCTGGTCTAATAACTTACTTTGAGCATTTCTTCAAGATTTTTGAAAGTAACAATAGTAGGGCTGCCTGTGCTTTAGGCTGCACGCTCTTGCGGCAAATGCTCGGGGGAGTCAGGTGCATGGTACAGTGAATTGAATAGAGAATCAAAATTTTGAATTTATGGTCTGGTACTGGTTGTGTTATGTGTCATGGATATTTCATACGAGTGAAACGGGAATTTTCTGAAGCATGCTGGGACATTTGTTGTTAGTACAGGATTTAAAGAGTGCTGCACTGATGCTGACTTACTGGATGCTTGCTAATATGTTCCTGTCTGCACTGCTGCCTCATGCTGTTTTTTCTGTTTCTGTTTTAGACATAAGTTTGTTTCTCAAACTCAAGTCACTTCACACATGTGAGAGCTCATGCCCTTTATGTTCTTTTAGAGAAGATCAAAATTCAAGATCTTAAACTTATTAGTAGAATGGTATTCCAGACTTGAAGCGTAACGTGCATTAAGCTTTGAGTGTCTCTAGTCTTACTGTTTCATTACTTGGTAGGATAGTGCTTTTACAGAAAGCTTTGTGCTACCCTTCTGAAAGTAGAAGCACTGAGAGCATGCTAGGAATTTCTCTTTATATACTATCAAGATCTCTAAGTACTTGTATGTAGTGAGTATGTAAGTTTGTAAAAGCAGTGCATACTTGCTCACATTCTGAGCTCTGTGATGTGTTCAGCAGTTGGCTTAGCAACAGTGCTTTAAGTGTGGGCTTAGTGCCCTCTTGTGGTGCAAATACCCCATACTGTATGAAATCATAACTCTTGGTTTATTTCATCTGCTTCATCTTAAAATAGAACATGAGGGAAAAGGTATTTGAGCACTTAAGTGTATGCGTTTTCCTTTATCTCCTAGCACAGTAAGTCCTACAAAGTTAGTAAGTTCAGACCTTTAAGCACATAGACCTGACAAGGGAGAGGCTCACCTGAAAAGAGAATCTCTCCTTAAAATCCCATTTGTTTACTTATGGGCAGATTAAATAACTTACTTAAATCAACATCACAGTTGAAGCCTTCAAATCTTAACTTAATAGCTGCAATCACTTCAGGTTTCTTATAGCAATCTTAGCTACTCAAACACTAAGCAAAAGCCCCAGTATGCCAGGACAAGCATGTGTTTCCTTTATGATACTGTGTGCTAAAACAGAGGTGTGAAATACTCATTTTGTACGTTGTTAAGCATTCTTAAATTAAGTCCAGAATCTATGCCAATTGAATAGAATTCTGGAACTGAACACTACTACATGTTTAAAGCTTTTTCTTTCTTTCTCTTGCTTGTTATATCGAGGCAGAATTCTTTAGTTCTCCTGAAACATGTTTAAACTACCATTTACTGTTTGTACTTTCATTTATTTGAGTACGTTAATGGAAGGGATTGCGTCTGTGACCATTTGTTTTTGTGTTGCTCTTACTCTCACTGCAGTCTTATGGGAAAGTTCATCGGTGCAAAAGCAATGGTCTCCCACAGTAGATTTTTTCAAACAAAATTCTACTGAGCATGCAAAGTGCATGATAAAGCTCCTAGAAACACATCATGGCAGATGTTTGTGTTGTCACTTAATAACCAGGTAGCTCCATACAGAAACTGGGTCCTGTCTTAAACAGGAGCAGTTCTGAAATTACTCTTGTCAGTTGAAGTGAAATTCTGCTTGGCTTGTTTCCACACCCTCCTGTGCACACAAGTAAGGACACTGTCTGCCCAGTGAGCTTCATGGGGATCTGAGAATGAAGCTGGAGTCTTTCTCAGGTATCCCTGACAACAATGATAAGGTCATCTGAAAGAGCTGTTGATGCCATACAGATGGAATCTAGGTCACCTACCTTGAGTTCAGCAGTGCTGAAGGTGTAAGGGGAGGTTACATTGTACTCAAGTAGAATGAAGGCATGGCACCTAATGCAGGCAGGTGGGAGACGGAGAAAGAGGGCCACAGTTGGCAGAGGTGTCTGCTACTGTCAGATGCACCTCTGACTGGAAGGTCCTTAAAAAACCTTATATGGGATTGTGCTCTATGGCAATAATGAGACCTAGTTCTTGCTTCACTGTTGTGTGACCATTTCAGCTTTACTAGCACAGCAGGGGAAGAATCAGTTCCTACCATCAGACTTTGCTGGGATATATTGGAGTTTCAGTGCTGTGATCTGGAAGATTTTGAGTAGATATGTTGTTGTCAGAGGATAAATCTCTTTTCTAAGCTTACAAACTGTTGCATTTAGAAGCATGTTTCCTTCTTTGAGGACTCTGTGACACTTCTTACTATTTGATTTGGTACCTGCTGTGTAAATTAAACCTTTCCCTGAAAAGTCTTCGTCTAGCTTCTCTTGAGTTCGCTGAAGGAAGCTGAAAGTGAAAGAACTTGCCTTACAGGAAAGTGAAAAGCCATGCTGCTTTGAAACAAATCTTTATTTTCCAATGCTCCAACTGTTTTTGTCTTCAATACTGTGCAGAGAAGGATAGATGTTGATTCTTCACCTTAAGAATCAAATAATGTAGCACTATGTTAAACATGGCATTTCTAGCTACTACACTGTTTCATATTCTTCACAGTCCATGCACACTGCTTTCAAGCTACTGCTTGTTGGAAAGCCATTGTGTACCTTAAAGGTTCCTGCATCCATCAGACAATGCATGCTGTTTTAAGATTGTGTTCCTCAGATGTCCTTCTCTATTGCATTTGTCAAACAAGCTGATGATGTGGGTGAACTTGGTCTACAGCTTCCTTTTATGCTTACATCAAATAATTTCTGTACAGTGTACAAAGTCTGTCTTGCTAGCTTATGTGCTTACTCTGCTTATTTGGAGGATAATGGTGTATCTAACAGCTGCTCTCAAAACTCACTAGTGTCACTTCATACCATCTGAATATCTGCAATATTTAGTGTTCTGTATTCGTTCTGTCTTTTCTCAGGAGCAGAAGACCACAAACTGGCAGTGGAGGAAAGAGAAAAAAGCCATTCTCTCAGCTGCAGGACTGAGGAGATGGGGATAGCATGGTGGAGAGGGAGAGTTTACTGATGGAAAACTACTAACACTGAAAGGGAAAATAGTACAGTTTTAGATTACATATAGTACGACAATTCCCATTTTTGTCTGCTTTCATAGCACAGATGATTCTTCCTGATATACTATCTGGATCTTTCTGTTCAGCATAATTACATGCTAATGTAATAGGAGAATCCATCATCGGGGGTTAGGATGAAAGAGGAAAAATTCTCT